CACTTCTCACCTCCGACAATCGAGCAATCAGCTGGCAACTGGCGGATAGTTATGCAATTTCCAGAAGCGGTTGAAGATTGTTTATTTGTCCAGCGGTGGATACCCAGTGCCTCAAGGTTAAGGCGTTGGCTTTCCTGTGAAAATATTCCTGCAGCTGACTTGAATTCCAAGATCCCAAGTTTATGCCACATGGTGAACACTGTTTTCACTATTTTTCCTCGGTAGCGTTTACCTAATTGATTAGAGCACCTGACTAATTTTGTTTGGAGGGGCTTTACGCAGTGACAGCTCTGACAATGCGATTAAAGTTAATTTTTGGGTAAATATTGATACGATATCTTCACTGAACGATTGTATGCACTAGCGATTAATTAGGCAACTTAACTGCAAAGGTTATATAAATTGTGGAAGTGGAAAAGTTCCAATTTGCTTGCAAATTTAATATTCCTTGGATGAGAAATCTCGTCGAAGGCAAAGTAATGCCACCCATTTGTAAGCCTGACCCACATTAATGAGATATACGGACTCCGTGGCGGGGTTTCGTTTTCATTGACTCACTGACTGAGTGACTGAGTGACTGACTAGGCGAGTGTCCCACAATGGATCGTCGATCGAGTGGCTCTAGCTTTTCTAGGGGGCAGGCAAATGAGCTGCAATGAACCGGAAATTCACAATTAACCGTCAATCCCCCCACTCGAGCCGGGTTTCATAACCAACTGCATCTGCATTTGGAGTCGACTCCATCCACAGGGGTGCAGTATTTGGATTCAAGTCGGAATCAAAATCGAAAATCGTATATGGAAATCGCACGTTCCGCCTCATTGGTCGCTGGACATTTATTTTCAGCCTAGGTGTAATTTTCAGATGCCTTCTTTGGCCCTCAGAAAATTGGATAAACAATGTGTACAAAAACAAATACACAAACACGCAGCGAAGTGAGGCAGCTAGGCATTTTAATCGTTTCTACGTGTTGTTCTACAAAGGCTTGTTCGGTTGCTGGCCAAAAATTATTATATTATGATCTGGCGGCAACGTGATCACCCTTTCGGCTTGGGTTGGATCAAACTGGGCGCCTTGGTTTGGGGTCGCGACGATTACAGTTACGCTGACTGGGGGAGTTCATTGGAGTCCCAGTCCCCTTCCCCAAATATCTTTATGATATCATGTAAATGCTGTTGGGCTTAAATATAGATAACTGTAGTTTCACTTTTTCGGTTCGGCCCATTCCTAGAATGGAATGGGAACGGTATTGGATGAACGTGACTGACGAATTGGTCATTCGAGAGCTTCTTTATGCAAGTGAGCTATAGAAAATTTTGGGCAGTGGAGTATTACAAAGGTTAATGGCTGTTAAGGGTGATGTATATTACATTTCAGTTCATTTTAAGCAATGCTTTTCCTACATTTTAATGTTTCCTTTGAGATAATATTTAAAAGTCTATTTCAGGGAAGAGTTCTAAATGCAATAAAACATTTCAAAAACAATTTAGTCCCAATATGTACATGTCCATTTAGACACTTGAATAAATTTCAATTGCCTTTTCCAAGTAAGTTTTCTTCCAAAACCCGAGTCCCCCCATTTTAAGCCTCCTGGATGATTTGACAAATGCGCATAACCCTGATTCATTACGCAAAGACTCTCTCCCGGCTTAATCATGCTGTTGCCTCGATAAACGATAAAGATTTTTCAGACTAAGCCCGCGTTGCAAGTGCAACTGGCAAATGGCATTCGCAGGTGGTCGCTAATCAACGTAATCAACTTGCAACAAGCTCGTTAGGCGAGGCAGACGCAGCATCGGTTCGGCTTCATGGTAATCAGGCCACCAAGTTCTGACCAACTCTTGAGGGGGAACCGAGAAAGGTGGGGACAGGTGGACGTGGTGGACTTGGTGGGTCCCGGCGAAGGCCGCTCTAACCAAATTGGTCGCGGAGTTCCCCTTTCGATCTAAGCACAGAGAGCAATACTTTCTATTTTTTCTATGTTTATTTAAATCGGTATTCTTAGGATTACCATATCTAATATTGGAATTTAACTATACACTAGTTCGTTTATTTTTGTTTTATAAAAATTGTAAAAACACTTTATTACATACATAGGAAATCATCTGTGGGTGCCAGAACTCAATGGCAAACTCTATGGTTTAATTAAGAGAAGATTTTTAAAATTTAAAATTTATTTAAATTATAGCAGACGAAAAAATGTCCTAACAGATTATAATCCAAAGGTTAATAATATCATAACAAAATTCACCCAAAAATATAATGCTGATATTACGAAATCTTTTGGAAGAAATAGTCACATAAAAGATTTAACACATTTTTAAAATTTCATAAAATAATATATTTCCCTCAGTGTAAGACAGGTTTGTCGGGGCTGTCAGTTCATTGTCTAGGCCTAGCTAGCCTGACTTTACCGTTGCAGCGAGTCGAGCGTTTAGCTGGGTCAAGGTCACCTCTGCAGATGGGGGTTCCTGGCCTATTCGCCATCAGAATCCAGCCGAAGAATCGCTGCAATCGGGGGTCTCCAGTCACGACGGCAATCTTCTTGCGATGCCAGGCACGCACCAATCAAATGGTCGCCATTCAACGCTATCATCATCAGGTCTTCCCATCCATCCAAAGCGATCCTCCGGTGCTCCAATGCTGCGAAGATCGATCAGCGCCCAAGTGGCGGCGGATTGCTGCATTTGGTGCTGGCATTGCAAACTGCGTTCCCCATTGAATTTCGTTTTCGATTTGCTTCGATATTATTCATGCCCCTATACAGTGGCGGAATTCAAGGGGGACTTACTGACGTCTACCTATTAAAGCTTTTGTAAGTTCGTTATCACAAAAACTACAAGTATTCCCTAGTAAACAACATATGCCACAAATAATACTAGTTTATTCCAGCAGAATATTAAGATAACTATACCTTTTAAACAATTTTTTAAGGTCCACCTGGTAATCCCTTTTGATCCCCACTTTCACTACGCTCTGGTTGCCGCAAAAACAGCGACGACTGTTGAACACAAAGCTGAGATTTTTCACAAGAAAATATTCATGTGAAGGCGAAAACTGCGCAGGCGCATGTTTTGTCAACTGGCAATCGGCTGACAAAAAGACAGTCAGACATTCGGAGGCTAAGGCTGAAAACTCTGACGTTTGCGTGACAGCGGCAACAGCAACAACTGCTTCAATAACAGCATCCAGACGCGGTTTTGACCAGTTACCAATTTTGGCAGCAAGACTTTCATTTATTCGCGATACGATTTGGCAGTTTGGGATCGCTCGTACAAAAGGGTACATCTCCTCGTGACCCGACAAAAAATGCGAATGTGTGTTAAGGGTATCAACCGACCCTTTGAAAAACTATATAACTCTTGTTAGTTCTCTAATGGATTGTTTAAAGGGACATCGAAAATCGGTAGACTGTATTCAAGTGTTTTAAGATTAAGTGTATTTTTAATGAAAAATATTGAAATTTTAAGAAATACAAGCAAATGGATCCTATAATAATTGGAAAAATGCACGATTTTAATAATCTGTTAAGACTTCTGACTTTTGAAAACAAAATATACTTATTAAAGAAGGTACCTGAGCTCAGGTTCTAAGCCGTTTCATATCGAAATGTACGTGCAATTTAAACACAAATTCATAGAGGTATCCCACTTCAATATCGGTATCTAAAGAGTCTAGATGTGGATTATAGAAGAGCAATTTTGGGTTCCTATTTTGAAAACCATTGAAATTACAAAGAAATCGAACATGGAAATGGGTTAAAAATTTGAAATTCATTTTAAAGGAAATCTTGAATGTCGATTATTAGAGAATTTAACCACAAATTCAGAGAGGTATCCCACTTTAAAAGCGGTGTTCAATGACTCAAGATATGGATTATAGAAGTGCCATTTTTGGTTCACATTTTGAAAACTATTGAAAACACAAAGTAATCTAATAAAAATGCCTTTAGCTGCCAAAATAGAGTCGTCCAACTACAATAAGGGACTTTTTATTTTTATACCCTTTACTCGTAGAGTTTTAAGAAAACATATAAATGGTTTTTTAAATCCATGACTAATTTTGAAGTAAAGTGGGGGAATGGAAATAGCAAGAAGCTAGAACTAGATGAAGAATTTATTTGCGTCTCGATTAGTTAGGTCTTTAACGATTTCAAAATCTGCGTTGATCCTTTTAAAATTGTTTGCGACCCTACCTATTCATCTCCAATTTTTTCTAGTATTCCTTCGTCCTTCTCTGTTCTGACACTTTTATAAAGCTCAAAAATTCAATATTTTTGAATCAAGGCGCCATGTGTTCTTCCCCTTCATGAAGATGAGTCATATTTTTCCTACTCTGGTAACACCAACCTTACACCTTACCTTTTCCTTACATAGAATTTACTTAACAGATCGTGGCGACATCTAGCGCTTATTTACAGAACTTACCACTTATTTTACACACTTGTTCTACATCTTCACTACTGAGGAGGGTGTACACGCTAATTTCTACGGACACTGAAAAAAAATGCTTGTGTTTTCTTAACTGCAGCTTTAAACTTGGGATTTTACTATTTGCATTTATGACTGTTTTAACTAGACCAAATTATAAAATCAAATACTATTTTTATTTAGCAGTACATATTTTAAGTTAATCAAAGTTAAACCAAAAATTCTTTAAGGAATTAAAATTTATAAATATTGTTAAGTTAAACAAAGTTTTGTAAGAACAGAAGTAAGAAGTTTCTAAGTTGGACTTACGGATTTTCATAAATTTTAAGTTTATAGGAGTGGTCAGATAGTAATTGATAAATCAATGAAATATTTTTTGCAATTATCAGAACTAATATAACAGTAAGCTATATAACAACATGCATGTAAAATGTGCCAGGAACCATACTCAGATTACATTATTTAACAAAATATATTTTTAATTTAATGGTATACAAATTGCTTTTCTTGAAACTGCAGTGGTATTTGTTTTCTGGCCGGATGGTATTTTTTCTGGTTATCGTTGTGGTCACACTATTAACGAACTCAACAAGTGTTGGGAGCCTCAGTTGAGTTTCAAACTTCAACAGGTGTTGAATACGCGCTACAGTAGAAAAGAAAGCGATCTTCCACGATCAAACGATTCGGTAAAGCAAAACAAGCCAGCGTAATTAACGATCGAGCACGTGATCAGCGTCTCAAGTCCCTAATTAAAAAAGTGCCGGACGGAAAACTTTAAATCACCGGTGTGCCAATCCACTAAAGTTTGTGTGTTTCTTCTAGCGATCAAAAACCAATTCTTGGATTACCCCGCTTCACTTAGAGACCAGTTGTCTGCAAGCAGACCGCTTATAAGGTGAGTTTCTCAGGACATCCATGTGGATGTTGGGTATTGGATCGTATCTTTAGTTTTTGAGTCGGAGTTTTGAAGATTTTGGATATATAGAATCAATGGGGTGGGGGGCTTAACGTGAAGAAAAGTGCAGTGCAAGCGAGGGTTAAAGTTTCGTCATGCGAAAGAGTGGGATAACGCTTGTGGCACCGCTGCAATCAAGCAGTTGTCTCGCTCTCTGAGCGTATCTTTCCGTCTCCACGAGTGTGAGTGTGCTACCTGTGAATGTATCGTTACCTGGCGTATCTCAAAAACATACCGAAACTCACACACACACACAGTCTCGTCTCGATTGCAGCTGCTCTTGTGTGTGTGTTTGAGTGGTATTTTGTTAGTATATTGGTGCTGTGGTGACATATTAATTTAAAACCCAAGTCGCAATTATCTCGATTATTCTGCAGGCAAGGCGATCATACTTTTGGTTCAAGCTCCATAGGCTTATCAGTCGAGCTACAGAAATTCCCTACCCCAATTAGACTGAAAAAACAAAGCGTTTAAGCCAATTTAAGGCAAATGCACTGGGAAAGCCAAACAGTCAGGGGAAAAAACAGTTAACAGACAACGCGTTTGCTTTTCACAACAACAACAAAAGCCACCAGGTAGATAAGATTACACCTGTATATGTATTGGGGCGTATCTGTGTGTGTGGTTAAGTGATCAGGGGAAAAACGAGAGGGAAAGGGGTGCACAAACCGGTAATGCATTTACTCAAAAAAGAAGTCACCTTCATAACAAACTCAGCGCTCTGCTGCAAAAACACAACATACTCAACTGTCACTGTCAGAGAGATAAATCTATATAGTTTAGGTCCGACCATGATCGTAGTTTGCATATACCACATATTATATGTGGTGAAAGACGGGCCAACGAGGTGTTGGAAAAGCTGAGCCCCACTCGAACCCAGTTTTTTACAGCTCCAAAGGTCGCTATAGGTAGTATGGATGGGCATACCATAAACCATACCATACCATCCAAACCCGATCGTGTTCAATAGGCTTTGAGAGCTTCCTGTAGTATCGGTCAATTAATCAAAGACCAGAACTTCGATAACAACCACGAAAAAGTCTCCAAAAATAAACTATTTGTTTCTATGCATAATTCAGAACCAGTTCCAATCGATTTTCAATTTTAATGTTCGACGTTCCTATAACCATCTCCGTTGGCTGTAGCCAGCACGAAGCTGGAATTTAAATGAAATGTACATCGTACAGAAATAATTTACAGAGATCTGGGCAATAAACACACGTTCATTTGATTTTGAGGTGCGACTCGATTTTCCAGACGTAATCAACCAGTTCACAGGGGAGTGCACTGAGAATTCCTGGAAAACGATTTTGTATGCTAATTTTCGCCCCAGCTCGGCTTGTCTGGGTTTGACTTGGATTGTTCTTGGGCAGGGCCTTCGATCCGCAGCAGGATCACAGACATATAGCGTGTGTCGAGCTGTCGCCAGTCGGCTGATGAATTCAGGGGGGCATTATCTAATCGCTACATAAGCCGGTCCCCACATAGGAACCTCTATGCCGCCTATTTATACAGATAAAGAGCCCCAAAAAGCAAACAAAAGTTGAGACTTTGACTCGCTCCACTGAGAGTTAATGAGGTCACATCATTCTCCGCTTTAGCTGTTTCTGGTTTCATGGCTGGTAATTGGCCGGAGTACGAGTTTTTACGTATATATCGTAGAGCTGCGACTACGCCGTGGAGGGCGAATTATGAATACTTAAACACATCTTTTATGGACAGCCGTGCCCGGAGATGGAGTTGGGCCTAAGTGGCCAGCCAAACATTTGCCAACCAGTCTTGTCGATCATCTGGTTGTGTGGGTAAACGTGGTTTGGAGCCGTGTTTTACACAGAACTTAAGTGTCGGCACATGCGGCGTATGCGCAATGTGGCTGCTTTGCTCTGGCTCACTTAGAAGTCTCTATTTGATACATGATTGCCATACGAAAACAGTGAAAAGTAAACTATTTTTGACTGATTTAACGATCCAGGTTGTTTTGTCTTAACAGCTTTGGCCAACAATGATGTCATTTGAATAGGTTTTGAATGCCCATACCTGCGGGGGAAAGCCGAATGCAATTCTCTGTGATCTCTATGGGATCTCTTTTTTTCTCTGCTCAATGGAGCTTGACGATAGCTGCGCATATTTCGCACCCACATTGCGTTGACATTTTACCTTAACCCTGAATCTAATCGATCAAGCTTGACAATCGGGCAAAGTGGCATTAGCATTAATCAATTTCTGCCATAAAACATTAGTCATCGAAATCGGTGGTGATGGTGGTGGTACCACAAAAGCAGCTGACAAATGAGGAAATGTTTTGGCCCTATTCTCGGCTGCAACTTTCTCCTCTGTGCAATTGTACTTTCGGAACCCAACAGTTGGGCGTTGGATGGTAAACCGCTTTGCGGGATTGCCTTGATTTGCTCTGGCCTGACCATAACTTAAGATTCCCAGCTTTTAAGCCGATTTCACAGCCTCAAAGTTTGGGTTCAGGGTCTCACCCATTGCTAATGAAATGCAGACTTGGCTGGAAGTGACTCAGAGGAGTGTGCTTACGTGCTATGCAAGCGGTTTCGAGGCCCGGAATGCGGCCTGTCACATGGAACGTGGCCAACTGCGATGGTAGAGGCCCAGTTGCAGTCATTCCGACCCTTAATTTGCGCGATAAACTGGCGGAGTATTATGCCCTACACATTCCCAAAAAATATATTCAATAAACTTAGCCCTCAAAAAAACCCCCCTTCGTTTTTTTAATAAAATCAGTTTCAGTATCAATTTGCTCAGTACATTTTAAAATGGATTTGATGACGGTAGCAAAATTCCCAATTCAGCTCGGAAATATAGCATCCATTTAAGGCTGCAGATTCCAAGAACCGACTGGTACTATCAGCATTTCTTTTGGTTCCGAAAAATATATGCAATATCATGAAGTGAATAATAAATAGATATTGACGCAGTGGTATTTTAAATGGATATTTCGAACTTAAACCTCAGCGATTAAACCTAATCAACTCCTGACTTTAAACATTGTCTATAACGAGAGCTCATAAAAGCAACAAAAAACTTAGTTTTTTAATACCTTTTAAGTTAACAGACATAAAAGCTGATTGCAGGCCTTTTGACAGCGGAGATCAGTGCCTTTGAATACTAAGTGATGAGTACTAGGTGCTTAGCACTAGACACTTAATAAATATATAGATGGCTCAACGGGTTGACAATTCGTCTCTAGGAACACTCGTTCGACCGATAACCAATACGTGATGGCGAAACGCCTTTGTTATTGAAAACAAAGCCTCGTTGGAGTGCAAAGTTTAGTGCAAAAAGGTCGGAAAAAATGTTTTCAAAAACTCACACTTGGGTGGGTAAACAAATCAGGTTTCCGTCGGCTAAGCACAATGAAAAGCGCTTTTCAGCTGAGGGAGGGGGGATGGAAAAGTCGTGCCCCAGTCGAGCTTCTAGAGCCAAGTTATCCGGCACTCTAAAAGTCGGAAGCTGAAAACCGATACAGATATCGCTAATGAACCGCCCCCGCCCGGTGAAAGCAGGTTTCCCACTCGCACCGCCTCCTTAAGTTCTTAATTTATGTCCCGCTTCCTGCTTTAAAATCAGGGCTATATATACGATACACCCAATACACTGTTCGATCCAAACAAAGGGCAATTGCAGGCGAGGAAGCGGGCATAAAGATCTGATTCGAATGGCTGAAATCAATTTATGGCAGTTTTAACAACTGAATTCCCATGCAGGGACTTCCCGCCGATAACAGCAAATGCACTTTATCGGCGATGTTGAAATTTTAAGCCAGATCCATCAAGAGGTATTACTTAACGACAGGTTTTTGGGAAGGTCTTAGTTGATTCGTTCGTAAGAAGTTGCAGCTGCTGCAAAATTTCAAAGAATTTTAGTCCACTGACCCTGCAATACTCTTTCTTTTCAAGCTGCGGAAACATTTTAAGATAAGCTTTACGATGTTCTATAATCTAAAAGTACTATTTGCTGATAGTAAAACTTTCCAGCAAAATGTCATTAGAATGTAACGTGTAATTGCGATTAAATTGTTTACTTTATTTTGATTCCAATAGCACACATTCTCTGCGAAGAGTTCAAGCAACTTGAACGTGACACAATCGGTTATTATATAGAAATTACGTTTGGAAATGTTTAACTTGAGCGAATTGAAATGACTTTTAGCGAGAATTTTTCGTAACTCGTAAAGTCATCTGCCTGACTTTTGGCTGCCACCGGGCAAACTTGGCTCACACATCTGCTGCGAGTGGCAATTTCCAGCCAAAAACCAGTCTGGCCAACAGTTTCCCCTTTTTTTAACCGTCTGCGTACTGGTGTGTGTGGTCAAATGTCGGCATTTTTTATACTTTTGTGTATATTTTTTATGAGCCCGCCTTGGGCAATTTCGTCCATTGTACTGGCTGGCTGGCAAAAATTAACGTTGCAGAAATTATATTCCGGAATGGCGTCAACCGAATAGGATACAAAAAAAAGGCCACTCTAATGTATAGATGGAAATCGGATCTCTGAACAGTTGGCCAGTGGTGTATTTTTTAGCCGAAATCATGATCGTAAATCGTCAAAAACCAGCAGAAACTCGTGATGCTAATGAATCGGTCAACAAATTTGACGGCGTCGTGATCCGCAGCTTAAGGGCCGGATGGAATCGGTTTGAGCCACCCTAATGAAGGCATCAGCTGAGGTATTTCCGTTTTGCCAGTCTCAGTCTCAGTGTCTCTACCCATGGATCGATATCCTTTAAAGGAAGAGATGAGTTCCCAAACGAAAACATTTAAGATTCTACCTACACGTCCGTTCCTCTCGTTTCACTTCCTGTTAACGCCAGCTATTTTTACCCAGGCATCTCGATCATTATCCACCCACGCACACAGATACCCAAAGCATGAATGTATTGTTTTGGGTATTTCTGGGTATTTGCCAAAGACACTTTTGTGTTGATCTTAAGTCGGAGTCAAGGCGAAACTACCTGAGTTCGATAACGCAGGCCGAGGTTCATTAGCTGACGTTGCTATCGTTCCGGAGGAATGCAGTCGCCATTCTTTTCGGGAATATAATTTATAACATTGGCTGGTCGGCCAAGGGTCGCACCCAGTTTCCAATTCCCGATCGACGCACCCATGCACAATTCGATAGCCAGGCCCCATCTGCTCTCCAAATCCACATGACATTTCTGGGTAACCCGATACGGAAATGTGGGTTGGAGGGTCTCATGGGAAACGTTCATAATTCGAATCTGTTGACAAAACCGAACCACATGCCCACCGTCTGTAAACCAGTTGATAGACACCGAAAAACAAGCGTTGAAGCCAAAACAAAATATAATAATAAATTGAATAGACCCTTACGTTTTAAGCAATCTAAGTTAGTAACATGATTTGATATCAGTTTGTTATGCGATCCCATGTCGAAGTGTGCCTATAAACAAAACGCTCCAATATGTTTCCGTATCGGGTTACGTTGAGTACGGGGCCATTAAGTATAACAGGGCGAGATCAGGGTTTATCCCGATCGAATGTCAAAGTGTTCTAGAAACAGTTTCAGGAAAGCATTTCCCCATTGGCTGGATGTTAATTAGATGCACGACACTGCAATGCACTCAGATATACTTTCATATTTACTGGCGGGGGATACCGATCGATCTATCTATCGATGAGGGGACCAGGGAACTTCGATCGGTTATATCCCGACTAGTGCTAATCTTTACAGCCGCAGATAGCGATGGCAATATGATGAATTGGCTGACTCACGAATTTCCGAGTGGAAAACGTATTTGCATACATGTACAAGTATGGCCAGTGCCAGTGCCACTTACCGGTTTCTCTCTAAACTTGAACAGAGCCCCTCGTATAGCCCAGTTCAGGCGGACATCTGTGTATACACATACGGATCGGATCGGAACGGATTGGATCGCTGCAATGACAGAAATGGAATTAATTATGGTCGGTCGGTCGGTCGGTTGGTCGGGGTGTCGTCGGCGCCTTGGCCAAAGTTAAAGCCAAAGCCAATTCGAAGCGAGCCAAAAAGAGCCACAACATCTTTCGTGACTCGATGAAATGTGTTAGCCGAAAGACCTAAACACGTTTAATGCGGTCTCGAGACTGCAGTTTTCCCTTCGGACTGCCAAGCTCCGCCGCCACTTGACACCCACTCACAGATCAGCTTAGCTGGCTAAGCGGTTTCTGTGGGGTCTAATGAAATGCTCTAACATACGATATGTATGCACGTACATTATGGTATATTGGCTGGATAAATGCGATCTATTCTGGCCGCGTTAACTGCGCATTTTGCATTTTGCTAGAGGTCTCAGATCTCTGGCGATCCCGGGTCGTTTGCCCGGTTACGAAAAAACATTAATACGTTAAGCTCTTTGTTTACCACTCGGCGAGCCACGGTCTCGAATTGTGTATTTGCTTTGCCATGAAAACGAAGGCAAACACAGGCGGGCTTTCAATAGGGGCATCCGCTGTGGAATCCGCATCGAATGGGTGGAAAATGCATTCCAAAACGGTCAGTTATGAAACCTAAAGGGAACTGAAAACGCAACGTTTTCAGTCGGGCTTTTGGGAGTTTCTTAGAACCAGCGATCTGGCAAACGAGTTCTTAATTGGCGTCAAGAAACGCTCCGTGGGGATTCCCCTCGTCGAATCGATTCAGAAGACGAGGGAGATTACCTAAGACATTCGTTAGGGTGTGCAAGCCAGTCACCCCATTATTACAGGGCAAACAAACGAAGTTCCAGTCGACAACCGACAATTTCGAGTTGAGATCGAGTATCTGTATCTGATCGAGTGAGGCATCTGCATTGCTAATCTCTAAATTATCAATATCAGTACTTTCCGGAAAGGGAAGTACCTCTCGAGTATGGTCGAAAGTGCCAATTGCTTTCGCCCAACTCTGAGTAAGCATTTGAAAATACGCAGGGAATCAGGCGAATTCGAAACAATTGCCATTAAACGATAAGCAAACATTTGGAAATTTGTGGATTCGGCTTGGTGTGCTGACTAAATTAGCATGGCCAATGATGTCAACTCTCCGGGTGCCAAGGTGCTAATCAGGGGAGTCAACATGGCTCACCATTTCGCCATGCAGATCGCTGATTTTGGAGGAAATGGGTGATACGACGTGCGTATTCTGAGGCCAGCCATGAAAACCTCCACTTCACTAGAATGTTGTTGATTCAATAAACGTATATCTGCTTATCTAGCTCCGGCAATTAGCGATAAGATACGGCTGCACTGGGTGTGAGTCGACTGTTTTTTCAGTTTCTTGGAAGTGGCCATAACTGTACAGCTCTGTTTTTTTCTTCTCTTGGTCCATTTCAGTTTGCCCATCTACAGGAGAATGGGTCGCCAGTCGACTTGCAGGCTGGTCCTGCTACTGGCCTTCAGCCTGGCCCTAATCCATGCCAGCCACTCGAACGTCGTGAGCAACAAGATCCACTACGTCCACGACGATCTGACGGAGAATGAGCTGAGCTCTGGAGAGGATGTAACTACCACCGATACCTTGCCCAAGATCTCCACGTCCAAAGTCAAGGAACTTCCCGTGGAGACAACCACCACCAGCCCGGTGAGGAAGTCCACCAAGAAGTCCCTCACCGAGGAGGCCCTCAAGGATCTGATGGAGGCGGCCAAGCACAGCCGGGCGCTGGCCGATGATCCTCACTTCAACAAGATGTTCAACTCCACGGTCGCCACCGGCGATAAGAACTCCACCGATAGTGATGACAGCGAATACTACGGATACGACGACGATTACAACTATTTCGACGAGGACACGGAAACGACTTCCTCGAGTCCCAAGAAGGCCAAGAGCAGTCCCAAGCTACAGCCCATTGTGGAGACCACCTCCTCGAAGCCCAAGGTAAGCAATACCTTCTCAATATCAGAAGTAGATAGGATCTATATCACCCTTTTCCCTAAAAATCACAATTTGCAATCTGCTGTAATAATAATAATTTAACTTAACATTTTATTTTAGGGCAAAACCGCCGACCAAAAGACCAAAGAAAGTACTAATGACATTGACAGCGACTCCCAATATGATTACGAAGAAGATTTGGATGAAGACGATGAAGAGGACGATGCCTCTGAAGATCTTCTGACCGATGATGAGCAGGTGGTTTTCAGCGAGGACGTCCCCTGCCCGCGATTCTGCCAATGCTCTCGAAATGTCAACAGCTATCTGGTGGCCACCTGCAGCAGGTTTGTCCTTTTAAAAACTTCCAAACTCTAGACACTTATTAACAATCCAAATTGCAGACTTGACACGGGCATCCAGAAGTTTGGCTCGGATATTACCGACCTGGTGGTGACCAATGTGGGTCCCAAGTACCCCATCCTGATGGGCCCCAAATTCTTCCTCAACCTGGGCCTCAAGAATGTGGCTTCCATCAAAATCGCCAACTGCACCTTGGAGTACCTGCACCAAGAGGCCTTCCTCGGACTGAACGAACTGTATGCCGTTAACCTGACAGATGTGGGTCTGGCCATCATTAACCCGGATACCTTCCTGGGAAACAAGAAGTTGCGCATGCTGACCATCTCTGGCAATGACCTGAGTGTGATGTCCAACCTGCACTACCTGTTGAACGTAGGTTTTCAAATACAACCTTCTTCTAATGATCGATCTCTGATTAACAAAGCTTTCTGTAGTCTTCCAGCATTGAGGAACTGGACTTCTCGCGCAACAACCTCATGGAGCTGAATCCCAAGGCCTTCTCCCAGCTCTCCAATGTCGTGTACATCAATCTGAGCCAGAACAGCCTCAAGAAACTGCCCGAGAATGCGTTCGAGAAGGTTACCCTTCTGGAGGAACTGGACTTGTCCTACAACTCGCTGTCTGAGCTGCCCCGTGATATCTTCAACGGCACCACCCTGTCCATACTCCACCTGAAGTACAACACCTTCAACGGCGATCTGCACTTCGGCACCAAGGATCTGCAGCAGCTGGATTTGAGCTTCAACTCGATTGCTAAAGTGCACCACAGCATGTTCGACAAGATGCCAGGTCTGACCAACCTGAACCTCAAGGGCAACGGCATCAAGAAGATCCAGCCCGACTCTTTCCTCACGCTGAAGAGCCTGCGCCATATCGATCTGTCCATCAACGAACTGGAGCAGATCTCGGGCATGCTGTTCTTTAAGAACTCCGAACTGGACGTGATCCGTTTGAACGATAATCCCCGCCTCAGCCAACTGCCCACCGATGGTTTCCTGAGCTACAGTGGAGAGTTCACCGTCTATTACCTGGATATTTCCAACTGTGCCATCGGTCCGCTTGGTCACAAGGCCTTCTCCACGATGCCCCATCTGACCACCTTGAAGCTGGCTTGGAACAACATCAACCACCTGCCTCGTGAGATCTTCACCAGGTTGCACAAGCTTATCGACTTGGACCTGAGCAACAATTTGATTCCCCGCATGGACGACCTGATCTTCATGGACAACGGTGAGCTGACCAAGCTGAGTCTGGCCGGCAATCCCATTACCCGCCTGTCGGTCCGCCTCTTCTTGCCACTGCACCAACTGCGCTCCCTGGATGTCAACGACTGTGAGCTGACCTCCCTGCTCTCCGATCGCGAAATGGGAATCGGTTACAAGATCTTCGACAGCCTGCGCAGCTTCAACGCCTCTGGCAATCTGATCAAGAAGATCTCCTCGGAGGATGTGAAGAGCTTCAAGAACCTGCGCTCTCTGGATATCACCAACAACCCGCTGAAGTGCACCCGCGACTTCCAGGACTTCATCAGCTACGTCACTCTGCAAATGCAGATGACTCCCAGGCGCCTGCCGGTCCTGGCCAATTTGGAGGACGATGCCACTATTGTGGAGCTGGAGACCCAAGCGCAGGCCGGTTGGGCCACTTTGGCGCACGAGGTGTGCAAACATGCCGAGGGATCAGATCTTCTGGATGAGAAGAGGGCCGATAGTGCCGAGGCCAAGCTGGAGAAGCGTCTGAAGGAGAGCGAGAAGAAGCTGGACGAGGACGAGGAGAAGCTTCTCAGTGTCCTGGACAAGAGTGTGCTGGACAAGAGCCGCCTGAGCAGCATGCAGAAGATCATGAAGGGATCGGTTAATGCTGATACCGAGAAGCCAGAGGAAGACAGTGCCGAGGAGAATCTGAACAATGGTGGCGAGGACAAGGACGAGGACAGCAGTGACTATGACAGCGAAGAGGACGATGAGGATGATGAGGACGACGCTGACGATGACGATGATGATCGCTTCGAGGAGGCCAAGAAGAACACCAAGAAGGCCAAGAGCGACTCGGACAAGGCCTTTGACACGTTTGTGAACAAGGAGCTGAAGCCGGTGCTGACCGACGAAGGTGTTCGGGCGGAGGATGTGGACATGTCCCAGGAGACGCGCGATAGGTTCCTGCTGGGTGAGTTAAACTCGATAAGAAATATAGAATATATAATAATATTTGGTACTTCTTCAGAGAAACTGGGCTTCGACAGCGAAAGCGAGGAGTCGGATGAGTACACCGAGAAGATGATCTTCCACGGCCAACTGTCCTACGACGTGGTGGTCCCATTGATCATCGTATCATTCTGCCTCTTGATGATCGTGCTCTCCATCGCCCGTGTGATCTACGTGGTGCTGCGCAAGCGCGGTGAGCGCTACCGCATGGCCCTGCTGGCCTCGAAGAACTCGTTCGTGTACCAGAAGCTCAGCGAGGACATCGTCAAGCCCACCACTAGCAAGGACCAGAAACAGCCCAAGCACCTGAAGCAGCCCAAGGTGCACCGATATGCGCCCATCAACCAGGTCTAAGTCCACCCAGAATCAACAGTTCTGAAGCGGACTTCGCGGAAGTCGAACGAGTTGCGCTGTTTTTCTAATTTATAAGTTTATTGATAGTTGAAAAAGTGGAAAATCACATCAGACAATTGACTACACACAAGCACAAGAATGAAAAGAAACAGGAGGAGGAGCAGAAAGCTGGCAGTTAAAAGTATTAGCGAGAGTGCGAGGAAACAAAGCAACAACTGAGAAATACTTGAATCCAAATAAGAGAGAGAAGAAATCTAAGAAAAACATCCTATACCTATGAAATAGCCTATACCGGCCTAGTTCTGTTAAGACCAGTCGACAGATTTTTGGCAACAGCAGAGGTTGGTTTTAGAAAACGCGTTCGATTAGCAACCGTTTCGAAAGCAACGGACTTGCACCTTATCGAACCATTGCCCCCAACCCAATCCAATAAACCATATCCATACCTATGAGAATTTCGGAAACAACTTGAAGATTTAGTGCCATTTTGCCAAAATTCAAACCGAGCGAAAATTACTTAAATACATTAGGGTTTCTATACTGAGTGTAAAGTCAGAAATGAGAAACGAGAAGCAAAGAGCAGAGAGTAGTAAGGGTTTTAGATCCGGGTCTGTGTAGCAAACGGTTAGAAGACTCCCTAGAATGACGTCTGATTTTTAATCTGATCAAGAGATGAGAAAAATAATTAATGCATAAACTATGTTAAGACTTTTTTATTACCTTTTTTTCCAATCGAATGCAAGTTACCGCTTAACTTATTCGACTTTGAAACCAATTCCGAAACAATAAATTATTTTAACCAAACCGATCGTAATCTTTACAATGCATACTTAATAGACATACATACGTACTTTTAACAATAACATGCCTTTCAATAAAATTGAATATATTTTATCTGCGTTCAATAAAAGACTCAAGTGGGCCGACAACCGCTTCCTCCTTTTCGTAGAGGGTTAAATTCCGTTGGAAGCCGAGTGCGAAGTCGACTATCTCCTGATCTCGCTTTAAATCTTCTCCGATTTGGCGCCACATCCGTTCAAATCCACTATCGAAGGGCATGCCCACAAATCGATTGTGTCTCGAACGGAGTTCTTCGCCAATCTGCTGCCACATTATCTCAAACTCCCTGTCGTAGGGCATTCCGATGAATTTACTGCGGTAACCAGAGTATTCAAACATGAATGAATACTCATGTTCGATGTTTCGCATGTCCAAAACCTACAATACCACTATAGTAAAATGAAAAAAAAAGTTATGATAAACTTACGAAGGTAATTTAATGTAAGGAGTCTTGGTAATATCAACTCTTTTAAGTTATTTTATTTGATTTCAAATATTCCAAGTTCCAGCGTTGGTCTTGGCACTCCAGCATAAGAACACTTACTGAAACATTATAAGCAGAGGACTCTTAAGCGAATACCAGACCAAAAGAGAGGCCACAAAATTATGCTGAATATACATAAAATCCATTGCGCCCAGAAACATAATGTAAACAAAAACACGTAATGGCATCAAATTTCCAGTGATTCTGTTTGGGATTTTTAATGGTACATGTATACATACAAAAGAATTATGGTCCACTCTAAGTTTAGTAAATGCATTTATTCAATTGGAATTTTTAAAGCTCAAGTATGGTCAGTTTCTAGCCCAGGATCCGTTAGTTTAAAACTTTTTCTTAAGGCAAACAAGTTGAGCGTGGGTAAGTTAAGCTTCCAAATTAATACACCACCATGGAGTTTTCGAAGAGTTGCGAAAGGTTCTCCTCTGTCTGCGCCCTGGGTGCCAGTTTAGTGATCCTCTCCTGGGGCAGGGTTCCCTCAACCAAAGCAGGCACATCGCTGCTTGAGAATCCCAGCTCACGGAGGCCATTTTCGATGCCAGCACGTTGCATAAAACCGCGTACAGTGTCCGCCAAAAGACGACCGGCGTCTGAGACTCGAACACCCCGCACTTCTGCGCCCAGCAACTGGGCAGCCTCCAAATGCCGCTCCGGACAAGCTGGAGCGGTGAACTCAAAGACCGCCGGAGCACTGATCACCACGGACAAGCCATGAGGAATTAGGGCGTGCTCCGCGAAGTAACCCTTCGGCTTATAGTCCCTTACATTTCCGGAAATCGGGTAGGACAGTCCATGGCACAGGTGCACTCCGGCATTGCCAAAACCCACGCCTGCCATCGTGGATGCCAAATGCATCTGGGATCGGGCCTCCAGGTTATCGGGTTGGTAAATGGCATCCACAAAGTTCTTTCGTATCGCCTCCAAGGCAAAACGAGCCCACACATCCGACACGGGGTTTCTGCCCTGATATGTGGGTCTCAGGCTGGGATCACTGGGCGCCGGACCTCGTTCTCTGTAATCCACGGCCGTAAAGCTCTCCAAAGCATGACAAAAAACATCAAAGCCAGCGAAAGCCATCACACGTTCCGGTTGGGATAGGGTGTGTAGGGGATCTATTATAGCTGAAGGTCAAAAATCAGAAATTAGCTAGGAAAATTAGTATACAGTGGTTTCACTTTAGATATTGAGCATTAGATTTAAATCTATAAGTTTTTATTATGTTATATAATATTGATCTCTTACATAAAGAAGACTGCTACGTCGTATATGCATTTTAAGTGACCACATATTTCATAAATCAAATGCAATCCAAATTTTTTAAAGTATATCTTGAATCTATTACTTACCCAAAGTGGGCTTTAGGAACTTGCTGGAGATCCCAGTCTTAGCATGCAATTTCTTGTAGTCAAATATAGCCACTCCAGTAGTTTCAGAACCAGTTCCCGAAGTGGTGGGCATGGCAATCAGGGGCTTTAATTTCACAGATATCTGAGGGAAGTTGAATAATATTATTTCATATTTATACTACCAATTTTATTACAAAGACTGTACCTCTTTGCCCTTGCCGATCGGGCAGTTCACATAGTCCAAGAATTCAGCCTCCCTATCACTACTAAACAAATTAGCTGCCTTGGCTGTATCCAAGGACGATCCTCCTCCAATGGCCAGAAAGGCATCGAATTCCTTTCGACGGGCAAACTCCGCAGCTTGCCACATGCTGCCATCCGTGGGTTCCACCCGGGTTTCGTCATAAATTTCATAGTTGATTCCATGACGGGCGAGGGAGTCCAAGGCCACTTTCACGGAGGGCAACTGCACCACATTCTTATCGGTGACCAAGCAAACCTTTCGGGCTCCCAAGTTGCGAAGATCAGCCCCTACTTCCGCACTTACTCCGGGTCCAAACCGAACTGTTGAGGCTGACATCTGAAATTAGGAAAGAAGATAAGTAATAAAGATCATATAAGGAGCTTTTAAAAGAAAAGTAATCCGAAAAGAAACAGTTAACAATTCTCTAAGCTTCAATATTTATTCTAAGTTGAAATTTGAGGAACAGAAGAACATATTTTATTTTTCCTATCTATGAAAACGGCGATAAAAACATACATCATTTTAGAAACTTAGTAGGCATCTCTGTTGAATTAGTTAGATTTGTACTATCCAGATGGTAGTTTTAAAATACAAATGGAATTCAATGAAGTAGTCATATGCATTTTCTTATCTGTGAAAGACTTTGAATGTCTGGCTGGAGATGAGAATCTGCTATCTGCAGGTGATCCAAAGTCCAACTTATAACCACTTACCTCGAAGGCGTATTCCATACGACCCGTTTTGGAGGCCGTTGGAGCAGCTGAGCCATAGTTATGCGAGTGGGCGGGGCACTTGCACCTAAAAGGAATTAAAATATTTTCATTACTTACATTGCTTCCAATTCTATACTTACGAGTTAGCCACGATCGTGTTGATCAAACCTAAGACATTCTTCCGCGACATTCTGTATGCCAATGAAAGCAGCTGTTCGGAATCTTCGTGTGATAAGATCCCGAATCGATAGTTGGCGCCAAACGACAATATTGCTCAATCGATAGCTAACCATTTGAATCTTTCTGTCTTTCAGCTTTGAAAAGGAAAACCTGAAGATGTGCGACTACCAGATGGATTACTCCTTTGTCTTTGAAGACAGCTCCTGCGAGGGCGATGTATCGATGGCAGCCTATGATAATGGATTCGAGTCCATGTGGCAACAAGTGGGCGAGGAACTCCGAAGGGAGCGGGAAATGAACGAACTCGGCCAACTTTTCCAGCAAAACTTGAGTCTGAGTCCGCCCGCCTACGCGGATCAATGGAGATTCTGATGGGACCTCCCGAAGCCAACTCATTGTGATATTTGTATATAATAGTTTAATAGATTTAGGAGATCACCCGCCAAATAATTGGCCTTCGTCAGAGCATTTTCGATAAGTGCTCGTAGATTTTATAGTATAACTACCAAAAAAATGTTTTTGTATACTTTTGTTCATTCTTAGTTTATGCAATGATCTTGTCCGTGCCTTCAAATGTTTGCTTTCGTGAAAATTCGCTTTGTTTTGTCACTCTACCAAGTAATCAATTTGTACCAATCCCATTGTTCATGGATCTTATTTTGGCAAAATATTGCCTTCGATATCGTAATTAAAATGTATGGGCTTTAAAGCCAGTATAAATGTATACAATAGCAAAAAGGAAAGTTCGAAACTTGTTAAATTCTTACTCAATTCTAATTCTAATAAATTTGCAATGTATAAAGTTTGATCGTTCGTAAACCTATTCACTTTTAATTAGAGATCCCACAATAAGATGTGACTGCGATTCGATTGTAAGGGGAACAATTGTTCGCTGGAGCTAATTACCTAAATGTATGTCCGCCCATTTATCGCGCTAGATTTACAACTCAATTTGGGGCGTTATCTGGCCGATCTGCGAACATAAACAACTGGGGATGGTAAACGATGTTGACGGCTATTCCCCTCATTAGCATGCAGATTGTCGCCGATCCGCAGGGCGCCAGACCATAAAACGTTCGATTCCCGGGCAATCAGTCAGCAGTTTGCATACGACTGGTGATTAGTAGACATCGCGAGATGAAGTGGCTTAGTTTGTTCCTGGTATTCGGAATCCTCGGACTCATCGGTAGCCTGGGCACCCTGACAATGGCAGAACCGAATCCGGAACCCAAGGGTCGTCCGCATACAACTCGACGTCCTCGGAACGATAATGACAGCGATCGACGTTAGCAATCCGATCGAATGGAGGAGATGGAGATGGAGATGGACAAACCTCCTCGGAGATGCACCGAACCACAAAAGACACAGGATTCACATCGACTCTCGGTGAAGGTGAAATGTTTTGGAGTTGAGAAAATGCAATATGTTGAGGTCCTGCTCATCTAGCGGGCGGGATCTCCCCCGAACACAATAAAAAGGCTAACGTTTACAACAGAGTTTTGATCATTGGTTTATTCGATAGTTCTTGTTCGTCATAGGTCTAGAGTTAAATTGGTCAGCTTAATTATACCCTGACGCTTTCGGGGATTCTTTGATACTGATAGATTGGCGGCTAAAGCGGGCTGACTGACTTTCTTTGGTTGTGCGAGGGTTTTTGGGGGGTGCGTTTGTAATTACCTTATATTTGATTCGGTTTCTGTTTTGGTTTTTTTTCTTTCTTTTTTTTTACCATTACCATGCGATATTAAACGTTGCTTAGGGCTTACCGTAATTTACAAAGTACCGCCGTTTGCGGCTTATCAAATTTAATTCAATAGTTTTCCGTTTCCATTTGCTTAGCTACGATAGTTTCGGTTACAAAATAATTTCAATTTATCTAAATTGCAATCGCATCTCCAGTGTCTGCATCAGCTCATCATTCTGTGAGTATCGGTAGTATTTCCACTCAATGTGCCTCTCATTATTAACTCGGTTTAGAACTAACTTTACAGTTACAATTACAATTAGAATTACATATACGCGATTGATTAAACTATTCCAGTTGATTTGAGTTTTTGGGGTGGAGTGTTTGATTAGCCTTTTTAGCCTGCGTGTAGAGCTTAGTCTACACAATATTTATGTCGTTAATTACGTTTAGCATATAGTTCGTAGTTCTATCTGATTTGATCAAATGATTACTCGCTTACTTTGTATTACTTGACGCATATGTATCTGTATCTGCTGAATGCTTGTATCTTGTAGGTGGGTCTGACACTGACTTGAATATAATTGAGTTTGCCTATAGAATCTAAGCTCAAATGCAGCTGGGAAGGTTAATTGATGGGATTCTGGGAAGAGGAAAAGGATGGTATTTGACTTTCATGCGGGAATACAGCGGAGTATCTTTGGTAGTGTTGGTTTACATTCTATCTAGCTAGCTTTTCACTCTTATTCCGGGGACTCCGATGAGGCAGATATGCCCCCCAGACTGCAGGCTCCCACGCTGCCCGCACTCGTCGAGGCCCCAATGTCGCTAATGCTTTTCACGCGCCTCCGGCTCTGCTCGTACAGCATCTGGGGGTCAGACAGTCCCGCATCCAGAACTCCTCCCACGGGCGGGGCGCTCACTCGATGACCAGGCGGTGGACCATGACTGTAAATGCCACCGGCCGAGGGGATCGGCGGCGGAGCTGTCGTCGGCGGCGGCAGGAAGTGGTGGTAGTGCTGCTGGGGATTCGTATGCGGATTTGGATACTGGTGGCCTATGGTTGCGTATATTCCTCCGCCACCCTCGCTGCTGCTGTACGAAGGCGTTGGGGAGGTGGAGTTCCCAAAGGAACTGCGGTCCCCAGTGCGATGGGGTTTGCTGTTAAACCGAAAGGCTTTAGAAAGGGAGCTCTGCAGGGAGAAATATCAGTATTACAATAGGTTCTTTGGGTTCTCGAAATGCCAACTCACCTGAGATCCTTTCCATGCCGAAATCTGTTTGGTACACGAAATGAAAGAAACAAAATTTTAATGTTTTTGATTGGCTCAACCAGGTTTTAGTTTATCGCCTACAGAACTAATTGATTTGAAACCGCCGTGAAACTCTTGGTGTCGCTAGATGGCTAAATTGTTAGTAACTTTTCTAAATTTGTATTATTAAATAGTAGTTAGTATTTTTAATATGGGTTGATTACATGCTAATATGATAAAATGGTTAAAGAAAAATATTAGAAAATCAAAAAGTACCTGTGTAAGTTGTAATGAGTATAAGCTTTCTACGTATAAACAATGTACTTTCATATTTTTGATAATTAGAAATCAATTCTTTATTTTAAGGTGTCTAAAAGTATGCTGTGAAATATTTTTCCAAGTCCATAACCAAATTTTCAAGTTTTTTTATCACCTCTCTGAACTGAAATATATCACCTACTTGTAGGCACCCTAAAAAATGAAACCACAATAAATTGAATTTCCAATTTCGATGAAAGCCTGTGAAAGTTAGAAACCACAAAACAGGCTTTCAGTGAGATGGAAACACTTGAGTCCTCTTAGGGATTTAAATAATTTATGCCATAGACACCGAGAGACAACAAAAGCTTCACGTCAATTCAGGCTAAGGACACAGTAATAATATATAGTTGGCTAGCAATGGATTATCATATTCAGGACTTAATGGGCTATAACTATAGGTATGATATGCGAGTCGTAAGAAGTACTTACCCTGAGGTTGCCGCTCGAGCGGCGATCTGTTGTGGCATAGTGCTGCAGTCCGCCGGGTCCCGTTAGAGGCACTACGCCGCAACCGGAACGGATGCCCTGACCCAGAGTCGCTCTACACAACAAACATGGCAATTTCGATTTGCGAATTTTTGCATAGGTCGTATGCGTGTGTATGTGTGTGGTCGTGAGTGGGTTGTTTTTCGGGGCGTATAGATATATCATGTTGTAGATGGGTTTGGGTGTGCATGTATATTCGATTTTCATAGGCAGGCAGGCAGGCAGCACATTAAAGACAGGACACAGACGGCAGATAACGGGAGTGTTGAGTTTTGGAGATTGGAATTCGGATTCGGAATTCGGAGTATGGAGTGCGGGCGGTCAGGCAGAGCGGCAGAGATAGCGATATAGAGACAGAGACAGAGAGAGAGCGAGAGAGCAGGCAAGGCAGGCACACATACACACACAGAAGGTGGTTTCATTGGGGTGTTGTTGAGTTGTTGTTGATTGGTTGTTGTTGAGTTGTTGTTGAGTTGTTGTCGGTAATGTTGTCGTTGTGTTGGTAATCGTGTTAGACAATCAAGCAGAGTTAGCAACAACAACAAGCCGTCGATTCGATTACCAAATTACGAAATTGAAGAGCAAACATACGGATGTAAAAGCAAAAGAGAGTGGATCAAATATATAGGAAAGATGGAAAAAGAAACGGGACAAAGACGAAAGAATCTGGTTAATCAATGTTTGGAGAGTTACGTTTAATTTGTTTCGTATTTAACTACACGTAGCGTAAAACAACAAGGAAATCAAAGATCTATATGGTGAGCGTAAAACCCCCGAAAAAATAGTAAGGAAAGGAAAAGTAACTTTAAAAGTAAAGTAAGGATAGCATTGCTAACAGACACGAAACCAGCAGCCATAATATATGTCTTTTTGATTTTGTAAGCCTTAGAATTCCAATCACACATAGTATCGATAAGGTATTTGTATGCAGTGGTACTTAGTAAGATGACAACGGTAAGACTAGTTCAAGCTACTTAAAAACATTGATAACACATACATAGAACTTGTTTTCGAGTGTCTGCGTGTGTTTTTTTGAGTGTGTGGGTGTGTGAGAAATAGAGAGAGATAGGCTACTTAGTAAGCAAGTTTTACTTACAATTGACACTGTAGTTGCAAAATTGCAAAACCAAATTAACGACTTCTTAAGGAAATTAACTTAGGGGTGTTACCCTGCGGTCAAATCTCTAGAATCACAAAATCAACATTTTTAAGTGCTAGAAAGTATGCAACAAAATATATTGCGCAGCTATACGCAACCATAAGCAAACCATGTCAATCAAAATAAAACAATTGAGTGCACACTTTAAAGCACCGAAAACAGTGGAAAACAATATATTGTAGAGATTCGGAAGAGCATGACTCGATACCGCAGGGCAAAACTCATTCAAAACGCTTCACAGTATGCAACACCAAAACATTGACTATATCATCTAACCACGGAAATGTAGATGTGTATGTGTTCATGGACTCGTGTGCGAGTGTGTGGTTATGTAATTGGTCTTTTAGGTTCCATTGTGCGTTTGGTGGCTGTCTAACCGAGCTCTGAAAACAGCTCCTGTATCACAGAGAACTTGGGTGTTCCGGCCTAGTGACGAAAGACGCTCGTGTGGAAGGGTGTGTGTTGGCATTCGCAATGCTCTATCTTAGGCATAACAATTGTTAATATCTGAAATACTATATCCCTTTCTTAAATTACATTGACAAGAAGCCCTAATTATACGGATCTACTACATTAAATGCTTGACATCTATATCAATCTGAG